CAAACAATCTAACCCTAAATTTTAGAGCTATAAGCCCTCAAGCTCACCACTGATCCATCGCGACCACTAAATGTTATTCGAAGAAAGAAAATTGTTCTGGCAGTATAACTTACGTTTCCACATAAGAAACTAATGGAGATATTAGACAGAAATATTAGAAGAACCTATTCTTCTTTATACTGGCACGAACGTCTTTGTCCTTCAGTTATTATATGACAGCATTTATTAAAAACATTTTAATCTATTTAAAAATTGATATTAAAATTAATTTCTGTGTTAGTATTTTGATATTAATGTTGACGTGTTTTTTTTTTTTTGCTTTTATATTATAAATAATGCTGATAAAAAATACTGTAGCTATGTTAATCATATTTTAATTTGACGATTCAGTCTTTTCATTCCAATACCATGGATACTGGCGTGCAAGATGAAGAAGCGTGATTGGGTAACAGGTGGGATATTACATGACAGAAAGTTTTGTTTGTTTGACGTTAAGCACAAAGCTACACAATGGGCTATCTGTGCTCTGTCCACCCGGTTTTTAGCGTTGTAAGTCCGCAGACATGCCGCTGTGCCACTAGGGGGCACGTCAGAGAAACAATGTGTGAGACAGATAAGGAATGACCTGTAATAAAAAAGTTTTCGGTGATGTAATAAATTATCACGATTACTTTTGGCTATAAATTGTATTTTTCTTATCAACTAAACTCTAATAATCTTGACGGCTTACGGATACTTGGGTTTGTTTTTAATTTTTTGGACATTTAAATGGACTATTGATATAGCTTTTCGACAGTATTAACTTTAGTAATAAACTCTTAAAGACACTGAACCAAAATTTGACTTTCAAATATAATAAAATTATCCATTCATCGCTTCTAAAAGTAGAATTATAATAAGTTAAAAATGAATGAATTAAATAAAAATAAAGAATTTAAATACGTCTATTTCAATACACTATGTTCAGAAATATATATATAATGTAAATATAGTTAATCTATAGTCTTGAGCCCCAGTGGCGCAGCGGTATGTCTGCGGACTTACAACGCTAGAAACCGGTTTCGATACCAGCGATGGGCAGAGCACAGATAGCCCATTGTGCAGCTTTGTGCGTAATTACAAACAAACAAACTATAGTCTTGAACAAATTTACTGTGTGACTTTATTACTTGTAATGAGGTTTTGCTGAACCCATGCCTTATAGTCTTGAACAAACTTACTGTGTGACTTTATTACTTGTAATGAGGTTTTGCTTGAACCCATGCCTTATAGTCTTGAACAAACTTACTGTGTGACTTTATTACTTGTAATGATGTTTTGCTTGAACCCATGCCTTATAGTCTTGAACAAACTTACTGTGTGACTTTATTACTTGTAATGAGGTTTTGCTGAACCCATGCCTTATAGTCTTGAACAAACTTACTGTATGACTTTATTACTTATAATGAGGTTTTGCTGAACCCATGCCTTATAGTCTTGAACAAACTTACTGTGTGACTTTATTACTTGTAATGAGGTTTTGCTGAACCAATGCCTTATAGTCTTGAACAAACTTACTGCGTGACTTTATTACTTGTAATGAGGTTTTGCTGAACCCATGCCTTATAGTCTTGAACAAACTTACCGTGTGACTTTATTACTTGTAATGATGTTTTGCTGAACCCATGTCTTATAGTCTTGAACAAATTTACTGTGTGATTTTATTACTTGTAATGAGGTTTTGCTGAATCAATGCCTTATAGTCTTGAACAAACTTACTGTGTGACTTTATTACTTGTAATGATGTTTTGCTGAACCCATGCCTTATAGTCTTGAACAAACTTACTGTGTGACTTTATTACTTGTAATGAGGTTTTGCTGAACCCATGCCTTATAGTCTTGAACAAACTTACTGTGTGACTTTATTACTTGTAATGAGGTTTTGCTGAACCAATGCCTTCTGGTTCAATAAGACGAATTGCCACTCTTTATATTATTGCCATTCTAATCTTAGCTTTCTTCTTGAAACCAAATGTGCTTGGTATTTTGTTTCTAACTTTCTTGTTACTGAGAATAAGAATACTATCTTGACGGTTAAATACAAATAAAACGGGAGTTTAGGCGAACCCTTTACAAACTGGTAGTCCTGATGGTTATGACACTCGACTCACTATCTACAGGTCTCGGTTCGAATCCTTTCACAGAATATGTTCGACTCTCGAGCAGTGGAGGCATTATAATGTGACAGTTAATCTCACTTTTGGTTGGTAAAGAATAGCCTAAGAGTTGGTGGTGGGTGGTTTTGACTAGCTAACTGATCTATTCCTTGTGAATTAGGGACGGCTAGGGCAGATATCCCTCGAGTAGCTTTGCACGAAATTCAATAAACAAACAAAATAGTTTACATACTAATACTATAAATAAACGACTTTATAATATCAAAATGTTGGTTTTATTCAATTAGACATTCAACGTTTCGCTTTACAGCTTCTTCAAAAGCGTTCACTAAAACACAAACTGAAATTGACAGTACAAAGTTTTTTTTGAAGCTTTCTACTGTCAGTTTCAGTTTATGTATTAGCGAAAACTCCTGAAGAAACTGTAAAGCGAAACGTCGAGTGTGTAATTAAATAAAAACATTTTGGTGTTATAAGGTCGTATATTTATAGTATTAATATATCTTCTATACACCAATATGCACTACAGAAAATAAAATAGTTTTCATCCTATAAAAGTGTTACTGTTTTAAATCTTTCTGGGCCTGACCACAAACTTGCTTCTTCTTATAGCTGTGAGCTATAGAAGCTACGCTTCATGCGTAGTTGTGTATGATAAATGTGATATTCACAGAAGATAAAATCAAGATGGAAGTGTTTGATGCTGTTGTTTTACAAGTTTTAGTTTTTAAAGCTAAATATGTGTTTCTGACGTATCAACTTGACTCTGTTCTTTCGTGTATAGCCCGGCATGGCCAGGTGGATAAGGCGCTCGACTCACAATCTGAGGGTCGCGGGTTCGAATCCGCATCCCACCAAACATGCTCGTCCTTTCAGCCGTGGGGGCGTTATAATGTGACGGTCAATCCCACGTATCAACTTGACTCTGTTCTTTCGTATATTAGATGATAAAGAAATGGTTCAAACACGTATTTTAATTAACTTCATGCATTTGAATAACTGGTCCAACCAGCCGTTGCTCAGAATAGTTTTCAAAGTTAAATTATAAATAAGAATATAATTACAGACATCTAAGAGCATTCCAAAGTTCGACATCCAGTTCATTTCCGAAGTAGAATTAGCTCACCTTCCGAAAGTTCTCGGGATCTAGATTATTTCATGGCTAGCTATTAAATTTTTAATTGCACATATTTTATGAGTATGGTGATCAAAATGCTATTATTTTCATGTTTCAGAGAGTTATATAACTTAGCCTTTTGAAGTTTAAACATGCCAATCGTTTCATAGAAAGCTTCACCTTATTCCATCTTCAAAATCGTTTAACTTTCCCTCTTCCATCACTCCCATCTACATATACTTTATTTACAGAGTAAACGTCTCTCAAAATAACTTTTACAATTTACTTAAGACTTTCAGTTAATTAAGTGTGACGTCATCTCACAATGATAGTTAGGCTTATCATAGTAATGAACGTAAACGATTATATATTGAGTTTAGTTGCGTCTCCTCATTAATGTATTAGCCTCCATAAGTTATTTAATATAGCTGTGTTGAGAATGTCATGCAATATTTAGAGCAAACAGATCATAAACAGATTATAAGATATACTCTAAGAGAAACAGTTTAATTTTAATACTGTTCGTTAATTCATATTTTGAACCTCAATTCTCTTTTTGAAAACATGCTTGACTACGGGATTGTAAGAGGTGAATATTATTGCTTTCAATTATACCCGTATATGGTTGCAGAATTGTCAAGGGATTTCCCCCTATCTCCCCTTATATTGGAGTAAGTCCAACTTTGTGTTACCTACTGAAAGAGAAAAAACCAACGTGCTGTCTCCAGCTAGCCCAGGTAAGGAATGAGCAAAGCTATTTATTTGATTCATTGTGTTATATAACTTAGTTTATCTAAAAAAAAACAGCAAACATTTTACATTTCAGTTGTATACAATATCACTAAATACATTTGAATAACTCATTGGTTTTTATTAATTGTTCAGTTTTTTTAATAAACATAAAAGTATACTTAAGTCAAGAATTTTGTGCTTATATTATCAATAATTTATAATAAAAAATCTTAATTTTAGAGTTTCAAGCAACATTGAATTTTACGGCGTTTTTAATCGCATTTTTAACTCAAGCCTTTCTTTTTTAATTTTGTACTGAACTTCAAAAGAAAAACCCAAAATAATAGGCCTAAAAGCTGGATCGTTTTAAAGTTCCGATCTGATATGTCTGGGATATCATTTTAAAGTCTTACGTTTCTAAATTCAGGATAAATGAGATAGATGGATTTTCATAAAAAGATTTTGCACTTTTTCGTTTTATCTCTTTCTTGTTTTACAATAATTTTAGTTGAACCAAAAACTAAATAATAACGATCGTACAAACTAAACTTGTATTCAAAAATAAAAAGAATATGCTTATTCAAAACTTTAAACCTTATTAAGTTCATTAAATTGCTTTACAACAAAGCGGATCTTTGAATTTCTGAACAGTACCAAAATCTATTAATAAAACTTGCCATTATAATACAGTTTTGCTGTTGTTGGAACTGTAAGCCTTTTTTTAATGTGAATCTACAGAAGTGTTTGATCTATAAAAAAAAAAGTGAAATTACGTTGAGAGTTAATCATGCATTATAAAAATGATTTATATATGGTAATACAATGAGTATCGTTTCCGATGTGAAGGTTACGCCACGCACGACATATTTATCAACTATATATTAGAGGACGAATTCCTGCCCACCGACAGTAAGTGGAATACTGCCATGTTGGGTTTATGGCTGACAGAATATAAGAAATAGTTCCGACCTTTTTTTAAGCTATACATAGAGCCAACAGATACAGCATTCAGGAGAAAGGAGAAACATAAAAACTCGCACTAAAGAGTTAAAAACAGCAAGGGGTCGAAATCACACCCAAAAAAATAATTCAGGCAACGCCCTCATTTGCAAAGTGCAGGTTATGATTACAAAATAGTATCTTACAGCCCCAAAACAAAACCATTATCATAAAGCTGTATACGTACCCCATAGTAACGTTAACAATATAACAAACAAACATTTAAAAAATACACACATACAAACCACAAATGTTTGTACGAGAAAGATGGCTGAAGAACATGGAATCTCGTCAATACAATTTTTACCACGTTCCCTTCAATAATTCAATGGATTGGATTCGCAATTCTTTTGTTCTAGAAAACTGACGGTCAAATACTTTGGAGAGTCTATTCAAAGATGCGTGGTTGGAAATTGACCTCAGCCGTCCATCACAAAAAAATGTGTTTCAACAACAATTACGGTGTCGAGAAATAGTGCGCAATCAGAATCGCCACTATCAGCAATGAATGAAGTTGTTTGAAGGACAGCACTGGACCTTCTTATCGTTCTTATAAAATGTGATGGACTCTCAATATACGCATAGTGTTTTATTTGTATAAATGGATTTGATCGATCTACTTAATTGATTTATTTATTTACTACCGAACTGATGAAAGTCAAAGTACTGTTTTCTTATTTAAGGTAGTATCCCTACAGGAGCAATACGAAAAATATATTTGTGTAGCTAATTTAGATATAGTATGAATAAAGAGACCAATATTTACTGTATTCTAAACTACCTAATTTATCTTAGAAATTTGCATTGATTTAATTATATACTCTAATTATTATGTTAAGATTTATTTGTTTTATATGAACTTCCTTCATCAAAAAGTATTCTGTCGTAAATATTTCCTTGAATTTCTGCATGTTTTTAATCATTTTGTTTGTTTGTAGTTAAGCACAAAGCTACTCATTGGGCTATATATGTGCTCTGCCCACCACGGGTATCAAAACCTGGTTTCTAGCGTTGTAAATCTGAAGACATACCCCTGTGCCGCTGGGGAACTTTAATCAATTTTCCTTGTTTTCATATTTCGCTTTACTACTAAAACAGTTTTACCTAATCATCCGTCTCGTGTAAACTTTATAGGAGAATCTAAAAGTTATTAAATGATGCCATAAGTAAGAAGATAAACAGGATTTATGATCAAATAGTAACATCGGGAGTACCCTAATATTTAAATAATGGTTATATTAGGTCGTCAGGAAATTAATGTCGTGTTTTGAAACACTTTTGTTAACCACCCTCAAAAAACGTACATCACGTATAATAGTTAAACGAACTGCCTAAATGTGACATTAGTGTAGTCTATATAATGCGTAGAGTATATTAAACTTTACGCATTATATAGGCTACACTAATGTGACATTA